AGAGCTACTTTAGATGTTAAGTTGTTAAGAAGATCATTAATATAGATGTAAAAACAAAACAGGACCAAGGATAGATCCTTGAGGTTCTCAAGAGAGTTGTTTTTTTAAAATAGATGAAAAAAATGATTACAATTAGATATAGCAGCTACACAAAAGGGTGAAAACCATGGAGTAGAATGAGACTTGACTTGGAGCCAACAAGGAATAAAATCATACCTTCCTGCCTGACAATTATTATCTTTGAATATGATAGCACTATTATTTTCAGCAAATTATTATTAGGTCAGCCTTAGGTTGGTTTAGATGCTAAATGCTGCTTTGGGATGAAAATTGATATATACTATATAAAGAAAATTAATAAGTTTGTGGAGTCCATGCTTCACTTGAAACCATATTGCATGATTTAATTGCAAAAAAAAAAAATTATTTTATTGAAAATTTCACATAATCAGATCTTGAAGAGTATCTCCATAAGCTGCTTGATAAGTATCTCCATAAACAGAAGATGCTGCTTGGTGTTAAATCAGAATAAATATTCATAGTAGTTCATAAAATTGGACACTGAAAATATTTGTGTCTGTGAAAAACATCATGATGAAATTGAAAATTTGTATTAAGTTCAATATAGTGAGAAGAATTTGATGATGTATTAAAATAATTATTTTTGTATCAATATGTATGAATTGATGTAGAATTTAATATTTTCTGTTTGTGGCATCTCAATGGTCTGTATTAACTTTAGACGTTTCGTGTCAGTGGAGGCGGAATTTTTCTTTTTCACATTGTCCCCATCTGTTTGCTAGAATAAAAAAAGAATTATTTTAAATTATTATTTTATAAATTGATTTTATTTTACATCAAAATATATTTTGAAGAAATTTAAAATGTTTATAATTGATATTCATTAGAAAAAAATGATAATGTATTAATTTCATGGTCTTGAAAATGAGTGTCCGATTCATGTGGGAAAAAGCGGGTAATTGTAATCCTGAAAAGCGTAACATTTGTTTTTGTCTCATACAAAAATCTGCTTTTATGAGCAGATTTTCGGGAGCTATTACAAAATTGTTCACCTTATGGCACACTCTGATGGAACAGGTAAAAAAATTTATTTCAATTCGGATAATCAAGCTAATGCAGCAAAAGCCAATAGTACTTTGCAGTCTTTTTTGAAAAGTAAAAAATCCACCATTATCACTAAATATGAAGTGTTGCAAAAGAAAATAATACGTAAAGTACTCTAAATGTTTTTTTAGCTTTTAGCAGAACCCCTCATTTCTTGAATAATATACAGTGTAAAAAAATGATAAAATGGTTTTTAATTCGTTTTTTAATGGTTGCTATCTCATGTTAACCTACTGGAAAGTGAAAGGGAAAGTATTAAAAATAACTAAAAACGTGTTAAACTGAAAAATCTCAACTGAAAGCCTCCACACAAGAATAGTGATTTATTAAAATAGAGCAAGATAAATTTTCCAAGTATGATAAAAATAATAAATAATCACATGTTAAGTTATTAAATATTATTACTTTTTTAGACTAATTAATTTCAAAATACTTAATTTTAATAGATTAAATGCAAATAATACAAAAATTTTAATTGATTGAAAGCAAATAATACAAAAAAATGTTTATAAACATTTATCGCCTTATTCTTTGTTCTATATTGCTCTCCTTCATCTCAAGGCTGCACTCTTTGATCTTATTTTTATCCATCAGCCAATATTGTTGTTGTTGGTGACTTTAATGCTCATTACACTGAATGTCTTGGCTCTTGTTTCAGTGTCTCTGCAGGTGTTAAAGCCCACAAGTTTTGCCTTTCTCAATCCCTTACTCAAATAGTCAACTTTCCAACTCGCTTTCCAGACAACCCGAATCATTTACTTTCTTTACTCGACTTATGTCTTGTTTCTGATCCTAGTCAGTGCTCAGTTTTTCCACATTTGTCCTTAGGTGCTTCTGATCACGGTTTTATCTCTCTAAAACTCTTATCTCATTCTACTTCATCATTTGAATCCCCCTATTATTATGCATTTTAAAACTACCTTTAAGCTGATTGGGACTCTTTCCGTGATTTTCTTTGTGATGGCTCTTGGGTAGAAATCTTTCTTCTTCCTGCTGCAAATGTGCTTCTTACATAACTTCGTGGATTCAAGCTGGCATGAAATTTTTTATTTCCTCTTGATGATTCCAGGTCAAGCCTCACTCTTCTCCATGGTTTTCCTCACATTGTGCTACTGCAATTTCCAATCGAAACCATTACTTTCAGAAAACAGATGTCTGTTTATTACTGCTAGAAAGCATAGTAAAAAGGTTTTGTCTAATGCCAAAACCCGCTATTCTCAGCTCAAGAAATCTTGTATTTCATCACAAAAATTAGGCTCTTGTGACTTTTGGTGAATCTTTTGTGAATTCTGGTGAATCTTTAACAGTATCAATAATAAGGGCAAATCTGTAATTCCATCTCTCTTGTATGGTTCAGACTTTGTCACCTCACCTAAAGACAAAGCTGAATTGTTTCTTAAGAACTTTTCATCAATATCATCTCTTAATTCCACTAGTTGCGTTCTACCTAATTTAGCGGTAAAACAGGTCGATTTATTGCTTGACATTCAAATTACTCCAGCATCTGCATCTAAAGTAATTTCCTGGAAATACATCAAGAAAAACATTATAGACTCTTCTACAGCTTGTGATCCAAACAAAAAAACTTTTATAGCCTTGCAGTGCTCTCTGGAGCCTTGCAGTGCTCTCTGGAGCCTTGCAGTGCTCTCTGGAGCCTTGCAGTGCTCTCTGGAGCCTTGCAGTGCTCTCTGGAGCCTTGCAGTGCTCTCTGTAGCCTTGCAGTGCTCTCTGTAGCCTTGCAGTGCTTTCTGGAGCCTTGCAATGCTCTCTGTAGCCTTGCAGTGCTCTCTGTAGCCTTGCAGTGCTCTCTGTAGCCTTGCAGTGCTCTCTGGAGCCTTGCAGTGCTCTCTGTAGCCTTGCAGTGCTCTCTGTAGCCTTGCAGTGCTCTCTGTAGCCTTGCAGTGCTCTCTGTAGCTTTGCAGTGCTCTCTGGAGCTGTTTTCTATACTTTCAAAACTATTTAAGTGCTTATTAGAATCTTGTTTTTCTAGCCTGCTGGAAAGCGCATTTGTTATCCCTATTTTTAAAAATTCTGGTAAGCAATCTGATTCGTCTAACTACCGTCCCATTAGTCTTCTTCCTATTATAAGCAAGGTTTTTGAATCTTTAATTAACAAACACTTAATCTCTCATCTTGAATCTAATAACTTACTTTCTGATATATGGGATCTTTTTGTTCTACAGCTGATTTGCTAATAGTAATAACCGATACATTTTAACGTTCATCAGAAAAAGGTAGAGAGGTTAAGGCCATCGCTCTTGACATTTCTAAAGCATTTGATAAAGTTTGGCATGCTGGTCTTCTCCATAAGCTTTCTTCTTACGGTGTATCTGGTAACATGTTCAAGGTTATTGAATTATTCTTTTCCAATTGTAGTATAAAAGTTGTCCTCGAAGGACAGCACTCTTCATATTCTTTAACCTCAGGGGTTCCTTAAGGTTCAATCCTTGGCCCTATACTTTTTTTAATTTACATTAATGATCTTCCAGATATTCTCACATCTAAGGTGGCATTGTTCAAAGATCTTCTAATGATGCCCTTCTCTTTTAGACAAGGTGCAAAAACGCTTGGTAAACATAGTTGGACCTGTTCTTGCAACCAACCTCCAACCATTATCACATTATTGTAATGTTGCTTACAATAATGTGATAATGGTTGACCACAACAAAAAAACCACAACATACAACTAATAAATAAATAGATTAAATAAATTTGTCAGATTGATTTAACAAAATTAATATATAAAAATAACATTATATAAAAAATCATAAAGAATTAATTTAGTTTATATTAAAATTATATGTACTTATGTATCTTTTCTTCAAATCATAAATAACATCATGCACTATAACACATACTTGTTATACATGTTTGAAGAGGATTAATTAAATCTATATGAGTATGTTATTACAAAATGAGTGTGTTATTACTAAAACTCTGACGTCCAATTCAAATTTAACCTTTGCTTAATGAAACGTTTTCTATGTTTTTATTGTTTAAGTTTTGTAACAAAAATTTGAAACTCTTAAAATAATTCTTTTTTTAATTTTTTTGTTTTGTTTTTAGTTTTAAGTTTTAATAATTTAAGTTATTTAATGATTAAACATCACTCATCTGTATCTAATGATTAAACATCACTCATCTGTATCTAATGATTAAACATCACTCATCTGTATCTAATGATTAAACATCACTCATCTGTATCTAATGATTAAACATCACTTATCTGTATCTAATGATTAAACATCACTTATCTGTATCTAATAATTAAACATTACTCATCTGTATCTAATGATTAAACATCACTCATCTGTATCTAATGATTAAACATCACTCATCTGTATCTAATGATTAAACATCACTCATCTGTATCTAATGATTAAACATCACTCATCTGTATCTAATGATTAAACATCACTCATCTGTATCTAATGATTAAACATCACTCATCTGTATCTAATGATTAAACATCACTTATCTGTATCTAATGATTAAACATCACTTATCTGTATCTAATAATTAAACATTACTCATCTGTATCTAATGGTTAAACATCACTCATCTGTATCTAATGATTAAACATCACTTATCTGTATCTAATAATTAAACATTACTCATCTGTATCTAATGATTAAACATCACTCATCTGTATCTAATGATTAAACGTCACTCATCTGTATCTAATGATTAAACGTCACTCATTTGTATTTAATGATTAAATGTCACTCATTTGTATTTAATGATTAAATGTCACTAATCTGTATTTTGACTTGAAAGTCAAAATACAGATGATTGATGTTTAATCATTAAATAAATTTAAAAGTTATGTATAAAGATTTGGGAGTTTGACAAAAGGGGAACTTTTTTTTTTTCAGCATAAAGATGGAGGTAGGCATAGAAGACTGTTTGCACATAGAGTTTGAATACAATAAATCTAAGTAAGTAATTATGTTTTATATTTTTCTTTTAACATATTATTATATTTACTTTTTATTTAGTTTTTACTTGTTTTTAGTTTTTTTACATTGATAACTCAATATTTTTTTACTACTGTTTTTTTCAAAAACAGTATAATTTTTTTATTTATATATATCCGCATACCTTGATAATAAGGTTTGTTTTTCAGTGGTTTAGTGCGCTTTCATCAGTGTTGTTTTGAGGGAGTAAAGACCTCCCTTACTAAATTCGGATTAATTTTCAATATTGATGTATTTATAGCAATATTTATAGCAAAACTTTTATTATAGTATATATCAATAATAGTTATAGCCAGCGATGCAGCATCCGAAGAGGACTCTGGCTTTAAATCTCTACTTTTTCCAAGCTTGTGTCCAGACTTGAAACTAATTGTTTTTAAGCCCAGAGTCCTTTAGTCCCAGAGTCCTTGCTGCCATTATACCTAAGGACTCCGTGTTCAAAAAATGAATGTTCTTCTAACCTAAATGTCTTAATTTTTTTCCTAATAGTAGTCCATAAACTTGATACCAAAAATTAGGATAAAGGAATCTTTTTGTGACTTTCAAATCCGGAGTCCTTTTTGGGACTCCGCATCCCTGGTTATAGCAATATTTAAATCTCCGCATCCCTGGTTATAGCAAAAATAATAATATAGCAAAATAGTTTTCTAATTGTTAAAATAAAATTCAAAAGTTTTCTCATTTTTATAGATTTATTATACATGATTACAGATGTTTGTATGCAATGCTGTACAAATGGCAGAACTAAGATCTTAGATCTTAGACCATTAAAAACTATAGACTATAAGGAATCATCTATCAATTAAGCAATGCTAAATTTATCTTTAATAAAGAACGTTAAGATCATCAACTTGCTTTTCTTTTTTTTTTAATTTCTGTTATTTAAAATGCAAAGCAAGACAATGTTATAGTTCTATAGATTTTAAATTTTATATATTGTATACTCATTTTCCTGGCACGAAATCAACTTAGTTGTAAAAAAAATTGAAATGTAAAACTAAAATAACATAATTATCTCAATCATGACACATACGCAACAAGTTTCCCCCCTTTTTTTGATATTTTTAGACTTTTTAGCTTTTTAAAAATTTTTTTGTTTGTTAAAGTGTATAATATTGTCACATGTTTGTATATAATCTCTAAAAACTTTATAAGTATTTTAAAAAATCTAAAAAAAAATATTGTATTTTAAAAAATCTAAAAAAACTTAAAAATAAAGTTGCCAGTGGTAGGACTCAAACCATGGAAAATGATATAAAATCTTATTGTAAAACCATATTATTATTATTATTTTTATTATTATTATTATTTTTATTATTATTATTAAAGATTATGATTTAAACTTGAATATTTTGATTCATTTTATAAATCATCAGTGCAATATAATTATTAAAAATCAACCGCTAATCACAACAGTCTAAAGGAATTTAGCAGTAATCAAATATTTTGGGTAAAAGAAATCATTAAATAAGATGTAAAATATTTTTATATCTTATTTAAATCTTATTTAATACTTTCTTATAAATTAAATGCCAGTAACTCTTTCGCAGATATGTATACAAAATTAAAAGACAGAAGAGTTTAAAAATGTATTAAAAAACTAATTTAAACTTTTTTAGTTATTTTAAAACAAAACAAAGAAATTCTAATTATTTATTTTAAAAAGTATATATTTTTTTTATTGTTTTTATTATTAAATAATTAACTTCTAATTGAAAACATTCAAATTTTTAAATGATTAATTCCTTAAACTTTCCCCCTAAACAAAAATTGATATTAATGTTTCATACAATTCACAAATAGCTTTAGCATAGTTTTTTATTGGTTAATTTTTAAATTACCGTGCAAATTTTTTTGGACTTTTAGTAATAATAATTTTTGCCTTACAACTTTTTTTTTTATTTATACTCCCTACATACCTGGTGTTTAAAAAAATAATGATTAAAAATATGTAAGTTTTGACTGTTATTATTTTTGCAGTAGTAAATTTATTGTTTTGTTTTTTTCATTAATTTTTACAAATTTGTTAAATTGTATGTTTTATTTAAACAGTGTTTACCGTTTTTAATAAACTAAAAATTTAATAACCAGAAATTTTAGGATATTGAAATTTGTGATCACTTAATTCAAGCCCTCTAATAATTTTTTTTAACGAAAATAAATACTACAGATAAAAATTAAGGAGAGGTTGGCGCAATGCAATTTTTGAGTGAAAGTCAAACTGTAAACATGGTGGCCACAGTCCTGGAATGTCCTAGATTTTTGCAAGAGTCCTGGAATGTCCTGAAATGTCCTTTTTTTTTTCTAAATCAAATTTTAAAATTACTAATAATATTGAAGTAATATTAAATTTTTTATGTGAAAAAAACAATTTTATAAATGGTTTGAATTTAATTTCAAATAAGAGAGAATCATCTATGATTTATTATTTAATTGAAAGGTTTTCTTTATTTTTAATATATTGCTTAAATTAGTTTCAATTTGAACTTTATATTTTTATTGTTATATCTGAAATTGTGGAGTTTCAAGTCTTGCAAATTAATTTATAATATTTAATTTTTCTAAAGTTTTGAAATACTTTTAGTTTATTATCTAAGTATGCAAATTTAATTTTAGAAAAAGTCTAAATAGTATAAGTATAAATTGCAGAATGCCTTTTGATTTTTTTGATTTACATTTTTCAAATACATGGTTGCAAGCACCTGAATATAAAAATTCGATTATTAAAAAAAGTATGACTTGTATCATGTTATTTAAAAAAAAAAAACGTTAATGTTAGAAATATGGGTGAAAATGCATTAAAAAGTCATCTTAAAAGTAAAAAACATAATAAGTTATTACCTCCTGCATCAAGTTCGTTATGTAATTATTTTTCAGAATTGATTATTTCATCACCTTTAAAAACTAGTACAATTCAGCTTATTGAAAAGCCATCTACTTCTAATTTATAAATGAACAAGTAATAACTGCTGAAATTAAATGGGTATCACATGTGGCTTATCAAAATCTTTTCAAAGATCATGTGAAGGACTAAACTCACTTTTTATATTAATATTTTCTGATAGTAACATTGCAACAAATGTTTCAAGTCAAACAAAGTGTGAATATATTAAAAAGTTTGGCATTGCACCGTACTTTCTTGATTTTTTATATAAAGAAATATTGTTATCACCTGTTTTTGTAATATCGTTTGATGAGTCATTAAATCTATGCAAAAAGGTCAAATGGACATTATTGTACGATTGTAGAACTATGATTCAAATCAGGTTTTTACAAGATATCTTGACTCACAATTTTTAGGTGCAAATTCAGAGCAATTATTAAAATCTTTTAATCAAGGTGTATCTCAATTTAACATACAAAAAATAATTCAGGTATCTTCAGATGGCCCTAATGTCAATTTAAAGTTTTTAGAACTTGTAAAAGAAAATCGTGAACTTAATAAGTATCCAGCCTTAATAGATATTGTCACGTGTGGCCTCCACATAATTCATGGAAGCCTAAAAACATCAATAAATAAATCTGAATGGAAGCTTGATAAAAAATTGAAAGCAATGTGGTAGTTTTTTAATGAATGTCCTTTACATAGAGAAATTGATGAAAATGTATCTGAGATAAAGGTTTACCCTTTGCGGCCATCGTTGGTGTGAGAATCAAAACTGTTGTCAACAAGCAGCAAGTATTTTTCCTGGATATTTAAAGTTTATTGACACTTACAAAGTTTACCAAAATCAAAGCAACCTCATGGAAAGTGGTTTAATATTTTAAGAGATGCAATAAAAGATCCTTTGTTTATTGCTAAATTTAAATTAGTTGAATTTATAGCTGAAAAGTTAAATCTATTTCTGAAAGGTTTTCAAAGTGATAAACCAATGGTCCCATTTTTATTTAATGTTTTAAAAAGCATATTAGTTAACATTCTCAGTATGTTTTTATTGAATGATGTGTTAGAAAAATTAGATACAATTAGGAAAATAATGAAGCTAAATCTATCAGATCCAATGCTATACAAAAGAGAAGATTATATATTACATATTGGTAGACAGACCAATTGACATTGGTCTGTCTGCCAATATGGAAGTTCAAAAATGCAAAAATTATCAACATCAAAAGGAAACACAATTTCAAAATTTTACAAAAATGTATGCTTATTTTTATCTTCACTTGCAACTCACATGTTAGAAAAATCTCTCATAAAATATCTTATTGTCAGGTATCCATCTTGTCTGGATCCAATTAAATTAGCAGATAGCGGAGAACTAGAGTGTAACAAATCAAAGTTTTCTAAATTATTACAAATATTAGTGGCTTCTGGATATTTTAAATCAAAAAGGTGACAATGCAAATGAGAAGAGTATTTTAAATTTATAATAAACGTTGTTCGTAAACATGATACAGATTTTTTGTCATTCAAAAAATACGAAGATAGCTCGGATATATTTCTTGCTCAGTATATACCTGTAAATGGATATACATCTTTTTGGGATGTCTGCATAATTTTATTTTGTTTGTCTCATGACCAGCTGGCTGCCATTGAAGGTAGATTCAAAGTAAATAATTATTTAGTTGAAAATTTTATTGAAGATTTACTAATTGCCTTACGAATAGTAAATGATCACATGTCATCAAAGGGACAAAATGCTGCTGATATTCCAATTACTAGAGAAATGTTGAAATCTGTTAAATCATCAAGAATGCGGTATAAAGTTGCGTTGGAAAGATAGAGAAAACTAGAGAAATGTTGAAATCTGTTAAATCATCAAGAATGCGGTATGAAGTTGCGTTGGAAAGATAGAGAAAACTAGAGAAATGTTGAAATCTGTTAAATCATCAAAAACGCGGTATGAAGTTGCGTTTGAAAGTGCAAAAAAAGTTAAAGAGATATCAACTGTATGTTTAAAAATAAAAGCTGTTTCTGTTGAAATTAATGATGTTGTTCGAAAAAAGAAACTACTTCAAGCATCAACTGATGATTTAATAAAAGAATCAGATAAATATGCATTAAAAGCAGAGGAAAAAAAGATTTATAAGTACTTCAAATGATTTAAAAAAGTTATCAAAAGATAAACTTTTAAAATTGCAAGATAGTTTAGAAAAAGCTTTATGTTTAAAAAGAAATTCTATTGTTTGAGTTTTATTTATCTTTTTTGTAAATACTTTTGTTTATATAGTTCCATTAAAGAGTATGATTTCAATTAAAAAAATTCTGTTTTACTATTATGTATATATACAAGGGCTGAAATCAGAGAAAATATGAGGTGCAGGACAACTTATGTATTAGAGGCCCCAATATATTAATTTACTTTTTTCTTTCTAGTTATCACTGACAGAAAAAAAAATCCTCAAATTTTGAAAAAAGACTTCTAAGTTTTGAAAAGAGAGTTTATATATATATATATATATATATATATATATATATATATATATATATATATATATATATATATATATATATATATATATATATATACAGCCAAATTATTTTAAACTCTATAATGTCCTGGAAAACGCAACAAAATGTCCTGGAATATTGTGGAAATATCCTGGAATTTAATTTTTAAAATTTTGTGGCTACCATGTATAAAACCATATATTTGTGTTGCCACCATGTGTAAAAGATATATATTTAAATATCTTTTAACATTACATAATTTAAAGTTTGGTAAATCTCAATTCAGCATATTAAATCCTATTGAATTATGCTAAAACAGCTGTTTTAAAATGCGCATTTCATCGCAAGCCAAGCTAATATTAAATAGTTTTAAGCGTGTTTTGTAAAAAATATTAGTTCAGATTTATAAACTAAAGTTATTTATAAAAAATTTTCATTCCCCCCTTTTTTTAAACCCTTACTTCCCCCACCCCCTGTTTATTAGATCTATATTAAAAAACCCCTCCCCTCATTTTATTCCCCACCTTCACCTTAGTATTTAAGACTTGACCATAAGAGCATTAATGATAACGTTTTTCTTTAAAAGCAAGACATGTTTGCATTTCTTTATTATTATGCACATTTATGTTATTTATTAAATGAATTACTTTTGAATTAAAACTGAATTACAATTTATTAATCGCTGTGCCTATTATATTAGTATTTATTATTATTAATAAACTAGCTGTCTAGACCCAAAAATCAGGTCACGTTAGGTCTGTTCCACACCTACCATTCATATACTTTATAGTATAAATATTTAGTCTATTTATTTCAAATAAGGCAGAAAATAATTCATTTTGACAATAAGTTAACTATTAACATTTTATAACTTTAAATTGACTTTATATCTTTAATTAAACACTGGGGTTGGACACCTAAAACTTATATATTTTTTCTGACTTCCTCTCCCCTCCCCCTCTTATTGCCTACAAGTTTTTATGTAGAAAGTCTTAGGTGATAACACACGAGGGTGAGAGGTGAGGTCAGTTGGAGGGTGTTTATTAATTTTTACTTGTTATCAACAAAAAAGCAATATCACAAATCTTTAAAAAAAAAAAAAAAATTTTAAAAATTAGTCACTAAAAAATTAAAGCGTTAAAAATTGTTGATTTTTCAAAAACTTCGATTTTTCAAAATCAATAAATGTTTATTTCTCACCATAATTTAAAACTTATGTGAGCTCTGTTAAATTATATTGAAAGAGCTGTAAAAAAAAAATGCCCATTTGACCGCGAGCCACACTCTACACTATACTCCCCTCGCTTTCCTTATATTACATACCCAAGAGTAATTAAATAAAAAATGGTTTTGCAATATTTATTTTTCAAAAAAAATTGTTTCTTTTATGTAATCAAGTAATATTAACATTAATATCTCAAACCATAGATAAAAAAGGCTTTATCCTAACAATTTTCTATGTGTATTTTCATGTTTTAAGACATTTTTTTGAAAATTAAAAAAATTATTATTATTATTATTATTATTGGTAGGTACTGTTTTAGGTGCATTGTCTATCTTATTTATTTTTAAATATTCTTCTATTAATCTTCTATTTTTGTCTTGACAACTGTCAAAATAAAATAGTTCTCCTTTATTCTAACGTACTTCATTTCTTCCCTCAGGCGTTCACTGCTCGTGTGTGACCATTCGGCAAATTTTATATGCCAAAGTTTTTAAATGGTAGGTGTAAAAGCACGGACCGTGCTTTTACATCTACCATTTGATGGTGATGATGTTGATGATGACAATAATGATGATGATAATGATGATGATGGTGATGATGATGATGATGATGATGATGATGATGATGATGATGATGATGATGATGATGATGATAGTGATAATGATGACAATGATGATAACGATGATGATGATGATGATGATGATGATGATGACAATGAGGATAATGATGATGATGGCAATGATGATGATGACAATGATGATGGCGATGATGATGGTGATGATGATAATGACGATGATGATAATGATGATAATGATGATGATAATGATGATGATAATGATGATGATAATGATGATGATGATAATGATGATGATGATGATGATGATGATGATGATGATGATGATGATGATGATGATGATGATGATGATGATGGTAATGATGATGATGATGATGATGATGATGGTAATGATGATTATGATCATGTTGATTATAATGATGTATGATATATGCATATACAAACAAATTGTTACATAAATTAAAAAAAAAAATTTGTACTTAAGGATGTTTTCATCTCTCTAAAACTTATATCTCATTCTTTTTCATCATCAGAATCCCCCTATCATCGTACATCTTACAACCTTAAAGCTTCCTTAAAGCTGACTGGGACTCTTTCCGTAATTTTCTTCATGATAGCCCTTCGGTAGAAATCTTTCGTCTTCCTGTTGACAAATGTGCTTCTTACATAACTTCGTGGATTCGGGAATCCTTCGTGAATAGCATGGAATCCTTTATTCCCTCTTGACATTTCCAGGTCAAGCCTCAACCTTTCCCATGGTTTTCCTCACATTGTGCTGCTGCAATTGCCAATTGAAACCATTACTTCCATATCTATCAGCTAAACATTTCTCCAGAAAACAGACGTCTGTTTATTACTGCTAGAAACCACTGTAAAAAAGTTTTGTCTAATGCCAAAGCACATTCTCAGGTCATGAAATCTTGTATTTCATCACAAAAATTAAGCTCTCGTGGCTTATGGAGAATCTTCTAATGATGCCCTTTCTCTTTTAGACAAAGTTTAAAAACGTATTGTAAACATAGTTGGACCTGCTCCTGCAGCCAACCTTCAACCATTATCACATCGTCGTAATGTTGCTTCTCTTTCTCTCTTCTGCAAATACTATAATGGGCACTGCTTTAAAGAGCTAGCGTCTCTTGTGCCATCCACTGAAATTCATTCTCTTGTTACTTGTCATTCAATTAAGTCTCATCCTTTTTCTGTGACTCTTCCTAAGTGCTCCAAAAACTCTAATTTGTCTAGTTTTTTTCCTCGAACATCAGTTCTTTGGAATTCGCTTCCTTCATCTTTAATATTTTTGTTGTTCCCCACTATATATTATTTTTGTTGTTCTGTACTATATATCATTTTTGTTGCTCTGCACTATATATTATTTTTGACGTATGGAAATGCATACTTAAGCATTTTAATGCATCATTAAAAACAAAAGAGAATAGCTCTAACTAAAATTAAGAATTCAAGTCAAAACTGTAAAAGTTTGTAAAATTTTTATTTACTGTTAATTTTATGTATTTTTTTTTTTTACAAACTTTTTTTTCAGTAGTCATTTCTACAATAATAATTGTTGCAAAAAACAAGTTTTAAATGCATATAGTAGTAATAATTATTATTATAATTATAATGTTTATAAATAGATCTTTTATTTTGATTAAATTAGGTACCATTTAAAAGATGTTATTGTTGGGAAGATTTATTTTTTGCTAGTTCGTATAAAAATAAGACATATGGAACTAGCAATTATTAAACGAGAAATTGCTGGTACAGGTCAGGTTTTTTTACATTTGTTTATGTATCACAATTTTTTCATATTGTATAACTTTCTTAAGCAGTATTTTTTCATAAAAAGTCATTTTTTTGTTTGTTTTCTAAAATTAGTGTTGTTTCATTAGGTCCTAATACATATACTGAAAATGAAACAATTGCAAAGTACGAAATAATGGATGGTGCACCTGTTAAAGGTATTCTGATTTAGATTTAATGAAATTTAATAAAATGACAAAGAGATAATTTATTGGGATGGTTTGATACTATTCCTAAAGTTTTTATTTTAGATTTTTAAGTAGATACTATCTTGAGTGAGACTGAGACAGTTAACTGATTGAGAAAATAATAGACTGAGTAAGTTTTGTAAAAGATGGAGTAGTTTTGACAAAGTTGGGTTGGCTCCAAATAAGTTATGTTGGGTAAAAATGTTGAAATAGGTAGTTGTGTTGTGTACAAGTTATGTTAAAAAAAGTAGTTATGTTAGATACAGGTTATGTTGAAAGAGGTAGGTTGGGTACAAGTTATGTTGAAAGAGATAGATTAGTACAAGTTATGTGGAATTAGATAAGTTAGGTAAGTTTCGGAAAAGTTGGGTTTATGTCAAGTGAAGTTACTATAAATTAAAACTTTCTAAAATCATTTTGAACAAAAAGTTCAAAAAAGTATATAAGTTCCACCCAGTGATTGATGTTTTTACCTTGTCTTATAAAAATAATAATTTCTCACTCATTATTTCATAAATGATTAATCTTAAATGTTTAATTGTATAAAGTTGCTTTTTAGTGAATGATGTTTAAAAATAAATAAAGGAGTTATAGCCCCCAAAAAAAGTTGAACACAGGACAACATCTCAAGATTAGTGTTTTTGTTCTCCAGTATTCGACACTTAAAAAATTTTTAAATTAGGCATTTCTTTAAACACAGTTACTTAAATGATACGTAGCAAAACAAAAAAGTATTTTTTTTTTTAGTTTACAAAATATTAAAAACATACTGTGAAAAAAATATTAAAAGTCAGTTTTTTATATTTTATAGCGTAAGATAAAAACAATTTAAACTAAAATAGGAAACATTATTTTTCTGTTTTATTTTTGTGGTTTTGTTAGTCTCACAGCTTAACTTTCTTTTAACACCAGACGTAGGTGGGTTTTTCTTTTTAACTGCAGTTGCCAATCGTCCTTGTTTGCTAATTTCTTTGGCGGCAGTAGTTTTTTTTTGTCGGATATGCCCTAACATGTAAACTATTTAACTATTTATTGTCAAAACTGCATGAATTTTTGAGCAGCTGCCCTAACTTTAGAAACAGTGAGCTTAAAAACTTTAGCAAGAGAAACTGTGATGCAGTTAGGCTTTGCTTAGAAAGCAATGTTGATGGAGTTAAGAAAGGAGGTGGTAAGAAAGTTTCGTTGATCGTGTCTAAAGAAAAAAAAGAAACAGTATTAAAATGGAGTGCCAGAGCAAACATTTACAAAATACATGCAACTTAATACAAGTTATGCTATTTCAATAGAATTTAAAGGAAATATAAATATGAGCTTCAACATGGCTTCTTCCCTCTACAGGACTCGTTGATTATCTGCATTTCTTCTTTGTGAATAATTAAACTTTTTTTTTCTCATGGAAAGTGCAATGATTCTAAACAAAAACATTCAATGAGTCATCGCATCCAAATAAACATCGAAAGATGTGTACAAATATAAATGGATTGAATGATTGTATGGGTATTGATTTTTTTTTTTTTTTTAAATCTTGAATAATAGTTTAAAAGTTTAATGAGTAAAAATAACTTACAACTTCATAGTTGTATATAATAAAATAAATAGCGAATAGAACTTTACAAAACATCGATGATTGTCCAAAGGTTGTGTAGTCATTAGAGTGCCACTAAAAACATTTTTTTTTTGAAATTGTCTGCTGCCACCCCCTAAATGTGTTCTATGTAATAAATTAACACTAAATTAAAAAAATTTTTGAATAAAAAAATATTTTAGGGGTCGCTTAACACCCTTAAACATCAAACGGGTCCCTAATGTTTTGAAAAAAAAAGTTCTTTAAAAGTATATCATGTTGGATCTCAAAAGAAGTGAAATTTTATAAAAATTTCAAAAATAATAATCAATTTATATAGATATTTCTTGTTTAAATTTTATGGCCTAAAAACTATAATTTTTTAACAAAAAATTATAAGTACATATTTTTAAAGTTTTTTTTTAAAATAAACTTTTTTAATTTTTATAAAATTTCACTTCTTTTGAGATCCAACATGATATACTTTTAAAGAACTTTTTTTTTCAAAACATTAGGGACCCGTTTGATGTTTAAGGGTGTTAAGCGACCCCTAAAATATTTTTTTATTCAAAAATTTATTGCATCAAACACATTTAAGGGGTGGCAGCAGACAATTTCAAAAAAATTTGTCTTTAGTGGCACTCTAATAGTCATAACAATCAAAAAAGCATTATTATATATATATATATATATATATATATATATATATATATATATATATATATATATATATATATATATATATATATATATATATATAATATTGATTTTTTGGTTGTTATGACTACTAGAGTGCCACTAAAATCAATTTTTTTTGAAATTGTCTGCTGCCACCCCTTTAATGTGTTCTATGTAATAAATTAATATTATTATTACAATATATATTGTCGAATTCCGGAAAACATAATACACATTTTCCATTGTTCGACACTCTTTCTTCCCCACTCCCTTTTCAGTGTTTTGATTTTAAAGGTTTGTACATTCATCTCATCTATTTCCGTATCAGCATGAAAAAGAAAAAGATTCAATTACATTTGTCATGCATTTCTTGTCGTTATCTGAAAACAAAAATTTATTCCTAAGAGTTTTAAGAGTATTTACGTTGTTTGCGCCAAACTTTATAGAGTTATAGAGAATAAACTTTATAGAGTTAGGCTTCAAACATTTATAGAGAAAAGCAATAATTTTAGAAACTATTTCGGAACTTCGGTTAGTGTTAGCTCAGCATATTTTTTAGTGACAAAACGTTGACGACTGGATGGGCAGTCGGCCACTGGGTGATTTACTCTATTAAATGATTATTCACACCAAAGTTTATTTGTGTTTAACGGAAAATCTATCTGATTATTTTCGCATGGAAATATCGCATCTTTTATCATCAATTTTCGCATGGAAATCTCACATGGAAAATTTTATTGAAATCTTTAGTAGGGTGGATTAGCTTTTTTATAGTTTCTGACATTTATATTTTATATTTTTTTTACGTTGTAATAAATTGTAATAGTTTTGAATATAAAATTGTCAACGAATTATTTTTATAAAGGTTAAATAGTTTAAAAAGATTTAAAAACCTAAAATTCTTTAGGTTTTTAAATCTTTTTAGGATGTTAAGATTTTAATCATTTTTAAAAATATATTTTTACAAACTCAGTCCAATCGTTTGTTATATACCTACTATTTATTTTTCGTTAATTTAGGTGAATCCATACCTATTCGATTATTTCTGTCAGGGTATGAACTAACTCCTACTATGAAAGATATTAATAAAAAGTTTTCAACACGATATTTTTTAAATCTTGTCCTTATTGATGAAGAAGAACGACGTTACTTCAAACAGCAGGTAATTTCTTGTATAATGATTTTTTTATAACGTATAGTACACGTATAGTAACGTATAATACATTGCTTTTATCATTTGTTTTGCGACCTTTGTTGTTTGTTTTTCTCTAGGAAATTGTGTTATGGAGAAAAGGAGATATTCCCAAACGACATAAAATCGCCGGATTAGAAGATAAATTTGAAAGAAATTAATTTATAAAATATATAATAATTAGTTTTATACGTTTTATTTTCTATTTTCATGTTAAACAAGTTTTTAAAAAAATCTGGTAAACAAAAATGAATCGTTTTGCATTTTAAGTATAATGAATGTAAATAAATATTTTGATATATGGAGAAAAGGAAAGTTTTCTGAGCCTTCTCTAAAGTTGCTATTTGTTAGTGTTGTTAATTGTTTTTTTGTTTTTTTAAATACACCGTAAATTATTCTTTGTTGCCTTTATTTTTTTAATTTTAAAATAATCACTTATTTCAATTTGCTAATTGTCCAACAAAAAACTTCAGGTTGTAAAAGCAATATAGTTTTCTTGCTTTTTAACATATAAAAGCAGGAATGGTGTTCTATTTTATATTGAAATCTTTTTATTTTGATAGTGCGAAAACTGTAGATTTTATTGTATCTAAGGAACCATATTTCTTGAATTGACTTAAAAATCATCGATAATATAATATTTGAAAAGTTGTTGTATTTTCGTACGTGTTGTATTATTTATTTAAAATTTCTTTAAATTTAATTTTTTCTTTACGAATATTAAAATATGACGAGTTAAGCGTATTTTTACAAAATTATTTTTAGTTCATTTATTTTTGTCACGAAAACGTCGTGGTATTATAGGATAGGCCAGCGGTATGTTAAACAGTTAAAATTAACCCTGAAGATATGCTTGACTATTTTTTTGATATTTAGTTGTTCAAGGTATAAGAGCTTTAATTTTTTTATTTTAATGACCTTTTAACAAAGAATCAATTATATTTGAGAAAAAATAGGAAAGAACTAATGACTAATAAAAATATTTAAAAAAAGATGACAATAAATAAAAAAAAAGGTTTTTTTGTCTTTGAAATTTTTTTTGTCTAAAAAATTTAATTCCTGAGGTACAATTAAACGCAATAAACGGTAAATATTTCATATTAATTGGACATGAATCTATATTTATATAGGATGGCCACATGTGATTCTGCACTAGTTGCGTACTACATGCAAACTAGCATTAAGTATTTTCAGCCGAATTCTCAATTTAAAAATTTGTTATAGGTAGTGCAAAGTTCGGTCACTATCATTTAAATATTATTTAGACAAAAAGTATTAGAGATGATCATAATGTAAAAAAAAAAAATGAAGGACAACCTATATAAGACTTCCTCTTTTAGGGTGGAATGCAAGAAGCAAACTTGAAATTTAATGTCATACTCAAGTCTAAAATCTGACTTGAGCAAATGCAAAGATCGAACTTGAACTTGAAAACTCGAGCCTAGTAACTTGAACTCAAGTCTAATAACGAGAAGTAGTAACTTGAAAACTCTAGTCTTTTTTAAGTGAGACTTAAAAAAGTAAAAATCTTTTCCGAATGCAAGAGGCGAACTTGAAATTTCAAGTTATACTTCAAATCTGATGTCTGACTAAAGTGTTTAAACAAACTTGAAATAAATTCATAATTGAAAAATCTGATTTCAAGTTTTTTTTTTTATTTTAGGTACCGACCAGTCTTGAAACGAAACTTGAAATAAATAAAAAAGTTACATAAATTTTTTGTCAATTTAATCAATTTAAGAGTGAATTACTAATGAATCATTATTTTATACTATATAAATACATTTCACCAGTGTAACAACTGTCAATTGTATGTCGGTTTTATGCTACTGGTTCATTACAGGTGACAAAGTATTTATATTATCACTATAATAATATTATATATATATATATATATATATATATATATATATATATATATATATATATATATATATATATATATATATATGTATATATATAGGCTTACCATACGTCCCGTTTTGACCGGGATCGTCCCGATTTTATGCCATTTGTCCTAGCGTCCCAACGTTTTTCGTTTTGTCTCGTTTTCGGAAAAAATGAGTTTTTTGTTTCATTTTGTCCCAAACAAAATTCATGATTTTGAATTCTGAAAAAGAAAAAGCAGACAACGAAAATCATATTGTTTTGATACTAATACAAATACTAACAATTATTTTCTAGGTCCGCGTTTTATCAAGAATTCAAAGTCTTATTTTGGAATCATTTTGAATAGCGCTAACCGTTAACTTTATTAGTGTACGTGTAGCTGGAGTTTCAGCTGCCGCGTGTTCTTCGTCTGTCAAAGGATCTTTTAAAAATGATAGACCCAATGAAAGTGATTTAGTTATTGCAGCAAAGGAGGTTACATTTAGCATTCAAACAGCAATGCATGATTTCAAAACATTTGACTGTAGTTCAAAACTATTCTTAAAGTTTTTTGAACCAAAATTTGGTGTTGCAAATTTCGAAATTTGGTGCAAACCAAATGCTTAAGCAATAATTTTATTTTATTTTTCTTTAATAATAATTTTATTTTATGTTCTTAAATATTCTTTATCTGTAAAAGAGTTACATGATGACTCACAAAACACACAAAATTTGTAAGTCACATTTTGTAAGTCTAATAATCTTTTCTAATGACACTTCTGGATTTTGAATCTGCTGATGGTGAAACATATAAAATATTGACTGATAAGTTAGTTTTAACATTGCAGCGTCATGAAGTAAATAAAAAAGAGCTACATTTTGTTCTGATAATTACAACAAAAATTTTGATGGAGTGCATAGAAAAGGTAAAAATAATGTTTACAACAGGCTTAAACAAGAACTTGGTGTTAATATTATTGGCATTGATTGTGGTGCACATATTGGGTAGAATACATTTCAATCTGCTGCGGGTGGTCTTCCAATTGAACTTGAAGTTCTTGTTGTGAAAATATATAAGTATTTTTATGTCTACACAGTTCGAGTAACTGAGTTAATGGAATTTTGTGATTTTGTAGATGTGGAATATAGAAAAATAGTCCAGGATGGAATTACTAGATTTCTTTCTCTGTTAACAGCAGTTGAAAGAACTTTGTATATGTTTAAGGCCCTGGAATCATACTTTGTTTCTCAAGAAAATTGTCTTTGTGCTTTGTAAGCATTTTTTAAACTTGAAATATCTAAGATATATTTTTGATTTGTGCATGGTCAGCTAAATAATTTTAACAAAATTGTATTAGTTATGGAAAAAAGTCAATAAAATGCAACAGATCTTATTTTGGAACTAAAAAAATTAAAATCTAATCTTAAGGAAAAAATGAACTGTACATTTGTCCCGCAAGGAACAAAACAGATGCTTAGAAAATTTATTGCCCAAGGTGTTAATACATTTATAACCGATGTGAATTCCTTTTATAAACAATGTATGAACTGTGGGAAAGAAGTTTTAGTGGGACTGAGAAATTTGCATGGATTGGACATGATCACGTACTAAAGTAGGAGGATATTGAACAATATGCTGAAACAATAAACAATATTCATGGTTCAGATAATCAACAAAAAGCTAATATTGACAGTCTTTTTGATGAGATGTCAAGTGCAAAAACATTTTTTACATCAAAAACGGAAAAATGGAGTTCATTGAAAATCTAAATTGCTTATGTTGACAAATGGATTCAATTATTCAAGCATTTTCAATAAAAAGACATTGGTGTACTTAATCTGGTAAAAGTTATTGAATACCTTTAGTGTTTGCTAGGAACATCTGCACCAGTAGAGCGTATTTTTTTAATCATGAAAAATATTTGCTCAGATAACCGAGGTCTTTTGAAGGTGTTCACGGTACGTGCATTGCTGTACTGCAGGTTGAGCTTTAGCATTACATGCTTACTTTTTAATAAAAAAATTTTAAAAAATTATAACTTGCTAGTAAAAGTACATTCTCCTGAAAAGTATAAAAACAGTTAATAGTTTTTTTCTCATATTTCTTTTGTTAGATTTAATTAATCAATCAGTCAATTAATCAATCAATCAATACATATATTTTGAAATAGTTGTTACATTCACGGAAGTTTAAGTGTTCTAATCTTAAGTAAAAACCTTGCAAATAAAAGCTAATAAGTATATTGTTAATGCTGATAGTTATATTAATCGTCCACAGCAGTAACAAAACGAACATTAAAAGTCGAAGGAGTAAATATACTAATAATGATAATAATAATAAAAATGGTAGTAGTAACAATAATAATAATAATAATAATAATAATACAATAATATAAGTAAAATGATAATAATAAAAATAAAATGTCGAAAATAAAAGTAATTACAAAAATCATAAACAAAATAATAATAATTTAGTATTAGTCACACGCATACACGCATATACAGACACATACAAATACATACATACAAACTCACATACACACTTACGTTCACAAATACATATAAACACATATACTTATATCTCACCGGTACTTCTTTCTAAACAACCACCTATCCCTACGCTGCCGCAACCTTAGCGTGTCCAGGTTTACAACTTTGGTAAGCCTATATATATTATATATATATATATATATATATATATATATATATATATATATATATATATATATATATATATATATATATATATATATATATATATATATATATATATATATATATATATATATATATATATATATATATATATATATATATATATAGGCTATATATATATATATATATATATATATATATATATATATATATATATATATATATATATATATATATATATATATATATATATATATATATATATATATATATATATATATAATAAATATATATATATATGCCACATATATATATATATGTTCACAGATCACAAGATTTTATTAACTCAGCCATTAAACAGGTTTTAGAAGCTCGTCTGTCCATTTTATAGGGGACAACACACCATATTATCAGCACTGGTGTGACAGTGAATTTATAACGAGAAAAATGGTTTCAAAACATAATTATAATTATAATTGTTTTTATTAAAATTGGTGTATTAATATGTAACATTGTCCATATTTTTTGTAAAATTTTATTTTAATGTCATAATACTTTTTGTTATCTTTTTGGCTTTTCTGATATCTCAAGTTTTCTGATCAGAAGACTTCAAATATGAACTTTTGTGACTCATTTGGTCATTTGTTATACAATAATATTGATATTGTAAAATGCTATATTTAAACGCAAAACTTTATTGCGTTTTATGTATTTTTTGGACCTAAAAAAAAAAATTTGGAGCATCGCTTTCTTTTTATTTTAGTTAAAAATAAGTTTTTCTTTTAAAAGAAAAAGGTTTTTCTAATTCTTCAATATTGCAACACATCCAACTCGTCAGTATGCCATATTGGGAAGAAGTCATCAATTTGATTAAAACAAGCTGTGTCTGCCTTGTTCAAAAAATAAAATTAAAGTAAGTATTCCACTAAATGCACAAAATTTGGATATAAAATACATGAAAATTCCTTTTCTGCACAGTTAATAATATCACAATCTTAAATATACGAAGGAAGTTAAACTACAACAGCACATCCCAAAATTGATTTTTGTTGATTATAAAAACAATGTTTGTGCATAAAAGACGTATTTTCACTAATAACAATGTAAAGTCAGTATAGTGATGT